TCCGGTTACTATTAAATTGCTTCTGCATGTTCTAAATATAGTACTCCCTACATACTACCAGTTAATAAAACATTTAAAAAAATTTTCAAAAATTTTTCTTAATTTATTTTTCAATACAAAAACAGTTGAAAAGTATAATGTTATTTAATATTATATTACATTTGTATATATTAATATATATATTGCAAAGCTTGAAACATAAATATATTCAACTTTTAAGCATTAATTATTTACACTTAAAATAGCATCAACTCTTCTAATTACGACTAAATTAAAGGCAATTGCTTCAAAAACTAAATTTTCAATTAACATAGCTTAAGCTAGAGCGAGTCGGTTTTTCAAAAATGCTTACTATAATCGACCACCCTACAAAAACTAAAAATTTGTGTATACGCTCTCCACTATATGTATGTATGTATATACATATAATGCGACTATTTTGTATAAAGTAAAGTTTGTATGCAAATTTAACGCGCAAAAATTCGCTTTGCATAAAATTATGAAAATAAATCCAATCAGATGTGTGCATTTTATTCATCTTAGCACACTTTGGCGGTCGGTAATCGAGACTGGCACAGCCATGGCACTCATGTAACTATGTTTGTATGAGTGCAATGAGCATACATATGTGTATGTATGTATGTAGTAATTTACTTGAACTAAGAACTGCGAGGAAGAACACAGCCAGTGAAATGAAACTATGCACCATGCAATAAAACTAAATTAGGCAGAGCGAAAATGGGCGCAGATTTGTTGCAGCTTCTTTGTACTTGTACTACAATGTACTTAAGTATATTCGAATACTTTTAATTAAATCATATGATACACAGTTTAAAAGTATCAAACATTGTATGTATAAAATTATTTTTGAAATAGTTGCAACATTGTTTTACTGTCTGTGTTGCTACTGTATATGTATGTATTTACAGCAGATTTTTTGGAATTATAAAATAAAATGTATTAACTTGAAAAAATTACCTCAAATATAAATATAATAAAGTTTTTTTTTATTACAACCAGAATAATCATAAACTAATAAGCATTACAACCAATGTTAAACTGAATTTTAAAATAACATTTGAATTACCGTCGTTACAACCAATACTGAACAAAATTTCAAAATAACATTTTAGATCGTCATTACAACCAATATTCAACTCAATTTCAAAGTGCTCGCAATAAATTTTTCTTTTAGTTTCGCCAAAGACACATAAATAATCTCTCCTACAGTTTCTCTACACCAAAGATACAAATTACAGTCCATAAGTAATTGCTTAGAAGATCTTTCTCCAAAAATAAAACACTTTAAAATACATTAAAGAATAATTGAATTCAAAATTTCATGTCATCAAATAAAAAATAATAATTCTGGCTCATCATTTGCTTCACTATTTACGACCCCGACCATTTGTCCCTTACAAGTGTCTTTTATTGCAATTTTTATGCACTTTTTACGACCTTTTTACTCTCCACAAAATATCATTTTCATAAATAAGCGCACCACTGCAATTGACTTGGCGTGCTGCAACTGCAGTTTGACTAACAGTTCCAGTTGTCACACGCGCTCAGTGTTTTATGGCCGCCTAAAAGCATATTCTTCACTTAAACAGATGAGTTCATTTAGCCACAACGAATAGCTAGGAAGTTTACGAGCGATTCTCCGCATGAAACTGAATGCAATGCAACACTACTAAGGTGTGTGCTTATACATATATATACACGTACGTATGTATATGCTACGGAGCGCAAGTGTATTTAGAGAAAAGCAAACTATTCAAACCAAATGAGTTCAGGTTTATTATCATCAGACAAAATATTCATTGCAATATGGCATGTTTGAATAAAACCCAATATTTTATAATTTTATATATTTATATAAAGCTGTTATCTGTTGGACCATGTTAAAATGACAGTTAGATTGTTAATGAATCCCTAGGTCTACTTTAACATATACATTTAGCATGACTTAATCATTTTATAAATTCTTCAGCACTTGTTAGTGCAGACGTGGGAATTCTCAACCGCTTGCACAGTGTCGAAGAGGCTGTTCAATATGTCATTACAGTACCAGGCAAGCTAAAAGGTTCCTAGGTTTTTTAGACATTCAACTAGAATTGAATATACATAAGTTTTATAGTCAACCCTAACCTTCAAACTGTACGTGCATACATTTCAAAGCTGTCGGACAATTAGTTCGTAGCGTGTAAATGTTAATTTATACAAGTTTTTGGTATTCGGATTGTTTCTGCATCCACCATATTCTCCGATTATGACTCCAGTGACTCATGTCTACAGACTTCGAAAACTGATCGGCGGAATGAAATTATTAATATTACAGACGTTTACCGAGAATCAGGTCTATTGTGAAACAAAAGCTACATCATACTATCGCACAAAGTGGTATTGAATGGGTATATTGCACTCAATAACAACCATTTATATTAAATAATAAAAACAAATTGTGAAAAAAAATCTATAAAACGCTATTTTTTTATCCATATGTTTGTACAAAGAGTTATTTTCAAATCCAATTGTATGGTGCGATTTCAACAATTTTGGACAAAAAGTTGTCTCATATATGAGGGAACCTATATCGGTTAATTTATGTTTCGACATTTTTGTTTATGCTTTAGTTATTTATTGAATATATATTAGGGTGGGCCAAAAAAAGTTTAATTATTTTTTCTTAGTTACCATAAAAATCTCATCCGAATTGATGAAAAAAAAATGCTGGTAAAATTTGAGCTCTAAATATTAATATTAAGAGGTGCCTCATTGATATTTTCGATTTCCCATGTAAATAACACAGGAAATTTTGTTTTTTTCTTTGGATTTTTATTGTACACAAACAAATAATTGTTAAGCAAGAATCAACACATATTCTTATAGGAAATTTACCGAGGAATATACAATATATTGTATGGTATGTTGGAATGTTTTTTGTATAGAAATGTATGCGGGAATGTTTTTCAAAATTTGGTTAATATTATATCATTCATCTAATTGGATGATGTCTTAATCGCCTTTCAGTTTACGAGTACATCCATAATTTATACTAATCATAATACTTGCCGCCTGATTTCACATGTCTGCTATTAGGTCGTAGCATAGTACATACATAGATGGTGAAATGAAGTATTTTCCCCGTACTTTACTCCTAAAACCAATTTGTCTCAATATACATACGTTAACCCTATTAAAGTGTAAAGTGATTACGACCCTTTTTCCTAATTTCCACAATTCTTCTTTGTGTAATGACTGAATTCGAACATTTTACGCGGCTATATGAAGATCCGTTTTGAAGGTTTAATTCCCCATAATGTTACCAATCTATACAGAGTGTCAAGCAGTATGTGTCACAATTTCTATAAAATTATCATTATTTTATACTGAGACAAATAAACTGGGAAAACAATTTTTATCATTACTCGGATGATGTAAATAGGTGAAGCCGTACTTATATTTTCCTTGATTAATTTAAATTTTTAAAAGTTTCCCATTCCTAAAAAACAAAAAATTCCGATGAATCAAAGATTTTATTAATTTGCAAATGGGTTAAAAATATTTACAGATTTATACTAAATAAGAAGAAAATTGAAATATCAATATTTTCTTCTGTTTTTTTCAAACATGACAGAGGAGATATTTTGAACATATGAAATCAGAAAAACTCATTTGGTAAATATATGTCATATAAAGTACGATAGCGGTATTCTCACTGCTTTGAATACGTATTTGATTGATCATTTTTTATATTTTCTTCAACCACTTCCTAGCAATAAGCTTTTGTTAAAAAATACTGCTCGTTGTAAACAAATTGCATTGTAGCATTGTAACTCACGCATAAAACATGCAATTCAATACCATATTTGCAACTATTGTGTGAAGTATTTACCGGATAGAAATACATATTTAAAAACCATATTTTTGTCATACGCATGCATTCATACTAATAACAGCTTTCATACTCACTAATAAAAACATTCACGCATACACCCGTATGCCAAATAGTTGCAATGGAAGAATGCGCAATATTTTCATCATTTCCACATGCGTATTCATCACAGAATGCACTTTTTATTGACAAACTTTTCACAATCAACTTAAGAAGCGACGACATCATAAGAACCAGCTCGAACGCTCAAGCGATATTGTGTGAAGAAATTTATGGCAATTCTATAAGCTTGAAGTTCTGCTATCCACTCGAATCCTTGTGCCTTCGCACACTACTATTTCAGTTGAATTTAACGATATTCAGCAATTTGCGCAAAACTCACATAATTTGCCATTTTCCACGAAGCAAACTGTTTATATGCGCCCACGCATACACACACACGTGACGGCATATACATATGTCTACAAGTATGTATGCGTACCTGTATGCAAAGGATAACTGTGTATTTATGTCAGTGTCTCGTTACCGCATTAGTTTAAAAGATATTGTCGCCGGCAAGTCTCCATGAGACAATAATGGGTAATATTTCTTTTTTATAACCGACTATTTCCGGTTTCACTTAAGGTGGGTAAAGAACAACTTCGCAATGGAGAGTTAGTTGAGGTGTGGAGTGTTAATAGTGGAACGCATGCAGATATTTATAGTGAACTATGGAGTGCTCACAATTATCGTCCTTTACCGTTATATTTTTATATATATAACTACCGACATATGAGTCTAAGTTATGCTTTTACTGTTCACCGTCGTTTTCGATTTGCTTGTCAAATTCGCTGAGACTTGCAAAACAGTTTTTTGTCTTCGCGATAAATTGTGTAGACATTTGATAAATTACGCTTTCTTTGCGCACAAGTCACATTTGACTTAAGTAATTTTAATAAGTCCACCCACTAATTTGCCTAAATATGGCAATTGTGCTATGCCGCGACAATCTAGTATAACAATTTCGCAAACTAACTCACATAACTCACATAAATTCTCAATCCGCAAAAGTGTTTAATTTACACTGTCGAAAAAAGTGTGTACCTGCATTCCAGCAACCAAATAAAGGCAACACAAAACGTCAAAAAAAAAAAGAAAAATTAATTGCTCAACATAATTAATCTACGCCACAGTAGTGTAGTCTCAGTCACTCCACTCTGGACCACCTAATCACCTGAGCGCACAGCTTACGTGCAGCCATGCGCACCAAGCCAGCAGCTACCCGACAATAAGTCACTCGGTCACTTGGATCAATAGAAAAACCGAAAAATATTAGAGAGCGAGAAAAAAAGAGCTGTGATGCCAAATTGTATGAAAAAGTGAAAAGAAACGACTAACAAAAATCGCTATTCATCATTTGAGCAATCAATCAATTTGAGCATATATTATCCGTAAGAATCGTGTTGCACGCGGCGCAGCAGAGTAACCAAAAACCAGAGACGAAACGAAACGAAACGAAACAAACAAGCTAAAACTGAAGCAAAAACCAAAACAGCGGAGCAAAAACGAAAAGTTCCAAAATAATCAAGTGCCGACTACACCATATAATCCTCATTATTAATCAGTCTATTAGACACAATTTGTTCCAGTCGGCAAGTCGCTTGCCATTCAGCAGCAGTAAAATTTCTGACAACAGACGCCAAAGGCCAAGTGAGTGGACAAGAATCGATGGACGCTTTAGCAGTTTAGATTTGAGTTTAATGGTATTGTACGCTCTCAGTATAGTCTACAACCCCTTACGTAACTAAGTATAAATGCAATGACTTTCGCGAGAGGCTTCCAAATTGTTGAAGAAAGTATAGACAAGTAACAGTCATGACTTAAACGTAAGAATCATTTCTGTTAAAATGAGCATAGATTATATTAGGAGGTACTCCAATATTTTGGGACCATAACAAAGATGACATTTTAAATATGTGAAATTAGTTTGCGGACATTTAAAAAGTAAGCAAATTTTCTTTGGTTTCTTTAATATTAGTTCCGATCAAAGAATAATTTCAGATATAATACAGTTACACCAACGCTTCTTTCAAGTTTCATAGCTCTGCTGATGAGAACTATGGTATTTCATAGAAGAGACATACTGAAAAATTCCCACATTCCAACATAAGGTATAACATCTTGAGTGACGCAAGTTTTGGTATTTGAAAAAGATGGATAAAAAGCCTATGAAGCTAAAAACATAAAAAAAAAAACGGAACGATTTTGGAATATTGGTTCGAAATGCAGTGACTGGGTTAGCTAAGATATCACTATAGTGTTTGTCTCCCTAAAATCCCCCTTTCAACCAACCAACCAACCTACACACGTGGGCTGCTTTTTTCAATCGTGACTCTTCTGAAATTGAGATTTAGTTTCGAAATTGATAAAAAATCATGGTTATTTTTTTTTAGAGAATTGTTGCCGAATTGACAATGTTTACGTAGCCCTAATTTCAGTGGGAACAGTCTAAATGGCGTCTGATTCGCCGCCATATGTGATCAACTCAGGATCATCACTAAGGCTCATGACCGTCACTCAGCGACTATTATTTTTTTCGAAACTAGGGACTTTTTAATACGACTATCAGACGCCTAGTGACCCAGATGTGAGTTGTGGGTCATCTTCCTTTCTTTCTTATATTTTCATTTGCATAGGTCTGCAGACAACAACTTAGTCACGTTAAGTTTTTCATTCTAATCGCTTAAGCCCTTTTATTATATTCTTGACATAGTTATGAATGACGGAATTTGGATAAAACACTCGGGAAATTTCGAGCCAATATTTCGGACAAGCATTATTTGCCAGTTTGTCATAGGAAAATCATTTTAAAATTAAAAAAGAAATTTTAAAACAAATAAAAGTTTAGTAAATCACAAAAACAGCTGGTAAACTGCATAAATATTACAAGTAATTTAATGGGTAAACGGAGGATATCAACAACTGAAGTCGACACTCACACAAAGTTCCTTTAGCGAAAAATTGGCATGTTTATTGAGACAGCTTTGCTAACGGTGATTCCAACTTAAACTGCTCCAAACAAATGCCAAACCACCAACGGAACACACATAAACACATACACACACACACACTAGCAAACATGCACATCAACTCACACCGAAGCGCAAGGCAAAGAAATCTTCAGAAGTTGGAGCAGCAACAGAAGCAGGAAAGATGATGGCAACTTTAATCGATTAAAACAAATTTCCACGCCATTGTGGCGCCACGAAAACTAGGAAAAATCAAGAGGCAAGAATATTACAAGAAACGCCAGCGAACACACACACGCTGACGAGCTGTGGGAAAAACGGAAAAGGTGAGTTCCAAACTTAACACACTTCAAGCTGCAACTTGGAGCAACACTGCCGCTGCCAGGTTGACGCTTGCGTAAGTTTCGCAAGTTGCTTGTAGACAACGTTTAAATGGATGACCCTCGCTTCCGCTGCGATATCCTAGCAATGCGTTGCGCAGCTCAGCGTTCAAGCACTGTCCGTCCACACCAATCCATTCCTTCTGCGTGCAATTGTGCACTGGAGCATTGCCTTGGTTGGCGCTGTTGCCACGACATTTCAAGTTGTTGGATCGACTAGTCAACCGTTTAGCAGCAACAATACTAACAATGACAACAACATCCACAATAATGACAGAAGCAAAAGCAGTAACATAACAATTAGAGATGAGTGGCAGCATTGGCCATCCATTTTCGCTTGGCTGCGGTCAGGACAGTTTCGCACATCCTGAATTTGTTGCTGCGTGCGCACTGCCAACACAGATTATAGTTTATGACTGGCAATAAAGGTCGTCAGCAGGTCGGGCCAGCCGGTCAGCGTTTCGCACACATGCATACCACCACATAGCCAGTTACCGAGTGTGTGTCGTGAGCGCACTCACAAACTACTTGAACAAGTAGATAACTTACGGTATTCTTGTCGTATACTTAGGTGCTCAAGCGCTCACTGGAGCAGTTAGTCCACCGACCAATCCGTTTGGTTCGTTGTCCGCCTATTGTCCACTTTATCATGGTTGGAAATTGAACGCCAAGAATGGGTTGTAGAAGGATGTTAAGTGGAGTGGAAGTGCATACTTATCGTCGGTCTTCAGAAAATATAGACCAAGTAGGAATCAGCAGCTTAATCTAGATTATAAATGATCTAAGAGATCTATCAAGCATAGAGTCTATGTTAACATTAAGGTTGGGGGCTGTCGAATATTATGTCAATATAATTGCTCACTTTACTCCAAAAACACGTTTTACTTTGGTCAAAGTATAATACGTCCTACCCCAACTCCTACAATAAATAAGTACCACTTTCAACAGCTATAAGTACAATAACTTTGAGAGAACTTGAACTGCAAAATATCTAATAGGCCTAACTCAAAAAGGCTATTAGTCAATGGTTCCTCCAAGTCGAGGTTTTAGCTATCTAGATCAGCCTTAAAAATATTTTCGACAATCATATTCAATTTTTCTGATGGCCAACGGTAGTTTTCTCCCTCTACTACATAGCTTTATGAACATTCCTTCAGCTCTCATATGATCTAAAAAGGTATGGATGAGCATATATTGTATCAGAAACAAGGAGGAACGTTAAATTTAATTGCACCGGTACACTTCACAAATAAAAAAATTTCAATACAATATCTTAATTTTGATTGGTCAGTTTGTATGGCAGCTTAATACTATATCTTGTCAAATAATAAATATTTCCATACACGGACATACAGCTATATGCTAGACTGAAGATTGTCCCGTTACCTTGAACTAATATTCGCGCCAAATTTCGTGAAGATAACTTGTCAAATAAAAATATTTTCCATAGAAGAAATTGATATCGTTCGATGTTTGTATGGCGACTATATGCTAAAGAGGTCCGATTTGATATCGACGATTCCGGTAAATGAGCCGGTTCTTGAGGAGAAAAGGATGTTTACAGATTTTCAGATCGTTATGCCAAAAACTAAGATTCTAGTTCGCTTATATGTTTGACAGACGGTCAAAAATAAGCGGTCGGTAGTACCTCCAACGTTTCTTTTCTTACAAACTTCGTGACAAACTAATTATACCCTGTTCAGGGTGTAAAAATGTGGCTGCCGATTTTTCTCATAGACTCAAATCATTGAATCGGTGCATTTAAGATGTTATATGTAAAGTTATTTGATTACTAAATATTTACAGTTATTTTTGATATATGTGGATGATACTTTCATCTGAAATATGTACGGCGAGATCTTTCGTAAGAGAAGGGTATAATTTAAAGCTGTGAACAATGAATTTTACAAATTGGTTCGCTGAAATATATAGTCATATTGGATATTCAAGTGCTGCTTTGGATTAACATACTATGATTTGACACTTAAAATGTGCCTTATTTTGAATACACAATTCTCTCGAGATCTTTATCGAGGAGTGAAGTTTTAAAAAAATCAAAAGATTGCAATAATATCAAGAAAAATTGACTTAAAACTGCACATTCATAGCAAATTTTTCCTACCGAGACACAACCCACACCAATACACACTCAACCACACACAAAGGAGTGTCGAAAGGACATGGAAGAAGACAAAGTTTTTTTGCGTTGTCTTCAGCATTGCCACATGAATTGCTCAATTATTTGTAGTCAATTTGCGAATTAGGTTTCTTCGCCAGTAACTTTTCTAACGGAGAGAACTTCAAAGTTATTGTCGTGTGTGTACATAATTCCTGGAAAGCTTTGTTTCTGCACTTTTTTACGCCAATTCATTTTTACTATGCTTCCTAAGTAATACATAAGCGTATACACATGGGCAAGACGAGACGAGTGAAAACTCCAAATCTACGCCTGAGCCGCCAAGGAGCACAGGCAAAAGCGCAAAACTCAATTGGATGTAAATAAGTTGATGATATAAATGATATAAATAAATGTAGGCAATTGATTATTATTGCGCTAATATGTAATTTTAGCTGCTGCTTATATGAGTACAGTTATAAATATATGTACATGTAAGCATATTAAATATTATAATAGCGTACTTAACTAAATTGCATGAATGCTCAAATAAATCAAGTGTGCAAAGGTCCAAGTCATATTTTTACTTTATCACGAAATTATATATACATGTGTGTATACGAGTATATATCACATAAATGTATTATTAAAGCACAAAGAGTATAACCCTTAAATCAGCCCATTCAAATAACTCATGTTTTATATAAAATCATAACGAAATGTGAAACATCAAATGCAGTCGAGATCTCGCCGCTCTTAAGTATGTATATACATATATGTACTTATGTAAATTCCATCATTCCGAATGGTTTGAGATATTCATACGTCTCGTTACATATCCGTTTTAATTTGAAATAGAAGACTTTGCATTTGCATTGATTTACTATGTAAATTTATTTATTGCATAAGGGTCAATTTAATCCTGAAATTGCATCAGTCATTCGGCATTGAGTGAGTTTATAATTTGAATATTCGTCATGTACGTACATATGTACACACATATACGAATTTGGAAAGGAAATATGCCTAATTTTTATTCATAATATATTTTATTAATTTTAAAGTCGTAAGCTTATAACTTTTCTTCTTCTTCTATCAAATTAATTTGTCGCCTCATCGTGTTTTTCATGTCTCTTAAATATTAATTTTCCTTCTATATAGTACTAAACTTCGCGCCCAATAAGTGATAAGAGTTTAAGCCTGGCACACACATACCTAAAAGTCTATTAAATTTATATACCATTATCTAGTTATCTGCTCCACATACAACCGATTAAGTATGTTGAAGAAAGCGGAATTTAAAAGGAGGAAAATCCAATTAATAGCTGTAAAAGCAATCTATCTCAATTAAATTGGCAAGCTAACCTATACATACACACACACGAGTATATGCCTTAAAAACTACACACGCACACATACATAGACGTATGGACCATAGAGCTTACTGTCAAAAAAGGAATTCAGCACAAAATTTACTGTGTGAAATGGAACAAATGCAAACATTCTGCACTCCAGCACCGAACACACATACACACACCCGTTATGTGTGCGTACAAAAGGAATTAGGCCAAACCATAGCGGATTTGCCACAAATGAGCTAGTAATTTGTTGCCTCAAGGGTAATAAAGCGCAACTTTGAGCCACCAAACTCTGAAAAAATTAAATTTTTCTTGAATTTTCATAGAATGCATTTAGACTACGAACCTGTTGCATTGCAATTCGCTTGAGGACCTTCGCACGCTCCACCAACCGCCGTTCACTCTCTATTTTGCGCTGCATGCAGGACGTCATTGAAATTATCAGCTCTTGTGTCCGCATAAATATATGTATTTATTGTCCTTATTTCATTGGGGCTAATAATTTCAGTGCCACAGCGGCAACTTAATTTAATTTCTCCAATTTTGGCTTTGATTGCTGTGGCAAGGATAATCACATGCAAAACAGCACTTACACACACAACAATAAATGCGGCAATACAAATACGGGTGCACAAATGGACGTACATACTTGTATATACTTATTGTATTTTATACGCCTGTCACATGGGCGACAAGCGAATAATTTGAATATAAATAGTGATGTACCGAATCTTTTTGGAATTTCGCTGTTCGAATACTTAAGTTTATATATAAGTTTATAGTTTCCTGTGCCCTTCGCTGATGTATTTCGTTTGGCATAAAAAATAGATAAAATTATGAACGCTCGTTTGTGGCTTATCAATTCTGGCTGTGAGTCGAAGAAATACAAAAAAAGCCGAATAAAAACCACTCTAAGCCAAATTGCTTATTTGTAGTCCATATGACAATAATGAAATATATTGCGCAATAAAATTGTCTGAAAAATATTTGAATAAATGATTTTTACGGGTAAGTTTTCTACAAATAACATACGTTTAGTATGTTTTTCTAAAAAAAATTATAAGAAAATGTTAAAATATTCGGAAGAATTTTTTTATATTTTATTTTAACCTTTTTCTCTTCCTCGAGAACTTTTTCTTATGGAAATTGAATCATTTAATAAAGCAACTAAATATTCGAGCGTAAATACCATATTTACATAAAACGTAGCGAATATTACCGAAATTCAGCAAATCACTGTTAAAAATTTCACATACATACATATGTAAACGCGCAGTTGCCTGTGAAAAGTTGAGCAAATAAATAAATATCCACAAACAGCGAGAGTTTTTTGCGCACATGTGTGCGTGTCAATGGTGAAAGGAATTCGTGAATCGAAATTTTAATAAGCCACCATTGGCAGGCAAAACCACAAAATCACTGTCAATAAAAGCTGCGAGGAGAAAAAGATGGCGCAATGCAATACCATACAA